TGTCAAATCTGCACAGCTGCCCGAAAAGGAGGAACTCAGATGGAAATAATAGAAACCACGGTGGTGGATGTTTCTTTAACCATCCAATACCAGCAGAAGAACCTGGAGACACTTTGGAGAAGGCCCTATGGGAGCTTTTCTGCTTCTCAAAAGGCCTTTTTGGTAAATTTTCATAAACAAATGAAAGAAGTTCCCTTGTAGCCTTTAGGTGCTTGTTTCTAATCCGCCAGGATCTCATGCCGCCTACTCTTCTTTCATGTTTATGTTACAGAAAGTGATTTTCCCCCAGAAACTGAAAATCTGGATTATGAAGACTGGACCAGGAAGGGATTTGTTCCAGAAATGCTCACAGAGCCTCTGGCACTTTGCCTTTTTTTTTTTTTTTTTCATTTTGTGTCCTTTGTGCAATAGCCGGCCTGTGAGTCATATATTTGGGTGTTGAGAACAGAGAGTTAATTTGTGATTTTTTTGCCCAATAACGAGAAACTGGCAGACCCAGCCCTCAGGCTTGCATGAGTGGGAAATGCTTCCATGCGGATATCCGATGATCCGTTGTCCCACTTCCAGGGGCTGCTGGAACATGGGCTTCTCTTCCGAAGGAGAGGAAGCAGGCGAGAGGAAAATGAGAAGTCTACATTTGGGGTTTCTGGTTATTCCATGAGCCTAAGGATTAGAGGTTCCCTCTTCAGCCAGGCATGAAGGCTAATCCTGCCCTCCCTGGGCCTACTCGCCCACAGCCCACCTACACGCATGAGAGCCACACTGGAACTCGTCTTGGCCTTGTACCTTTGAAAGAACACAAAGGCTTTTCACCTTTTTTCTTTCCATCAAAATGTTCGTGAGAGGAGTTTTTCAGGTGAGGAAAAGAAGAGTTTCTGTTTGGGTTAAGAAGCACGCCTTTGTTCTACATTCATCTTTTCTACAAATATGCCAAATGCCTGTTATGTACCAGATCTCACTGTAGGTGCTTTATTAGTTTAAACTGTTCTTTTTTTTTTTTTAAAGGAATTGCAACAATGAATCTAATTTAGGCTTAAAAGGTACTAGAAAAGTAAATCCAGGGCCTTATTTGGTCTACGAGTATTTACAAAACAGTTAGCCTTAAGTACTGAGGCCCTCCTTCAAAATTAATCTGGAAACTGAGGGAAGTTTCCAGGGTTTGAGTTCTACAAGCTGAATTCTACACTATCCTTTCCTCATATTCCATTTCCCCCCAAAGAACATGAAAATGAGTGTTTCGAAGATAACTATGTTGTAGAAAGCTAAGAATGAAGAGGGATGAAGTCGTTATGGTGCCTATTTCCTTAGAGTAATGAGAGCCGTCTACCGGCCAGTCTGCAGGGATGTCAGCTGCTGACTATTCCCATTCTAGTGTGAGTGGAAGACTCTGAGAGGAAGATGCTAACTGCCTGCTGATCAGAGCAGATCACCCAGTAGAGCGCCTCCTCCTGGTGGAAACGATGTCCAACCATAATGGCAGCAGAGAACGCAAGAAAATCCATTCATTGCCCTGAATAATAGGTCATTTTGTATTCAGTAATTAATAAGCAAAAAAGAAGCCCAGACTTTTGGAGCACTTACTGAGTGCTAGCCTTGGCTTCAGACACTGGAATGTTTAATCCTCACAAAGTCTGATGAGGCAGGTGTTATTATTTTCATCACTTCCATTTAACTGATGCCAAAAGGAAGCAGGGACGTTGAGTCATTTGTGTAAGGTCACAGAGGTGCTGTGTGGCATCACCAGCATTCGACTCAGGCCGGATGGCATCAGAGCCCACGTGCTTACCCGCCACCCACACATGCTGGCTCTGAGAACCTGGCCTCTCCCAATTTCTGTGTGGTTGTGGGCAAGTCAACCTTCATGGACGTCAGTTTTTCTCTGTAAAACTAAGGGGTTGGGGGATTGGACAAGAGAGCCTTTCTTGTAAACTGGGCTCAACAGATGAGGGAAAAAACATCAAGTAACAGCCCCTAAGATGTGTGGCCCAAAGGACAGGAGGAGCACCCCAACAGGGTTCATTCCTCCATGGAAGCCCCACTTCCCAGCCAGGAGGCAGAACTGGGTGGGGGAAAGGCACCGTTTCCTCAGTTTCAAGTGGAAGTTTAAAGTCTCGGAGGCCCCACGAGTGGGCATGATGCCCAGTTCACTAGGCCCTCTAGAACAGGATCCTCTATCAAAGGACTTTGATAGCGGGCCAGTCAAGGTGTTGAGGGTAGGAGAGTGGGCAAGCCCTGGCCTCAGGAACCACATCAAAGGCCGGTTGACTTCTAGTTCTCTTTGCTGAATTCTAGTGTAGTTCCCTTGTCTGAGTGACCCAGCTGGTGACCTTGAGCAAATTCCCTGGTGCTCTGCGCCTCAGTGGCCTCTGTAAGGTAGAGATAATAGCACCTGCCCCATAGGTGATGATACAAATAAATCTCATAAAATAGTGCCTGGAACATAGTCAGCACTTAGTAAACCTGAACCACCACCGCCACCACAGCCATCATTATCATCTCAGAGGACAGAGGTAAACAGATCAGGGCCTTTGTAAGTAAGCATTGCTATGGCATCATTTTGTTAGTTTTGGTTCCTTCTTCCCAGTGAAGAAGGCTGAGTGCTTGTCTCTGGAGGCAGAAGAAAGAGCAAGTGTAGCGCTTGGTCCACGGAGGGTTTGGGGACAAGAGGGAACAAAGGGATGTCAGCAGCTCTGGAGAAAGAAGAGGGGGGGCCCTGGGGCAGGCTGCCTTCTCGGCCCTGAGGAGGGGCGCTTGGAATTACTGTACTGTTCCTTGACAAGGGGAGGCAAAGCAGAGGGCATTTGCCCCACCGCCTCTGAGTTTCCTGAGAGCAGCCTATCTGTGAATTCAAAACGGGATCTAAACTGAGGGGACTGTAGGGCAGATCAATGGGGGAGAAACCGCGTCTGTTCTTTTTTTGAGGATTTCCAGACTTTTCTCAGCAGGATGGTGGTGCCAGACAATTTATGCATAAAAACCTTTGAAGAGCCAAGACGAAGCTGGAAGGGAAGATTCTAACCCAAGACTGGGACTATATGATTGGCCTATATCGTATGTTTCTTTTTCAGTGCTTTTACCTTTGTCGGAAACGGTGGCCATGATTTAGCTATCTCTAGGCGCTACATGTAAAAAATGTTTTATGGACATCAGAAAAATTGTCCCCCAAAGAATTTCTCTTTGGTTTTTGCAGCTCAAGTAAGGATTCTCTCTTCCCTTCCCACCTCCCTTCTCTCCAGCCCCCTCCTGGCCAATGAAGTAAGCAGTTGTCCTCCGTTCAAGAAGATAAATAGCACAGGGGCAAGGCCTTGGTGTTTGTAAAACCTTATGGAGGCTGCTTCCAAATCCTCATGTGGGAAGGTCGCCGGAGTGGGGGCATGGGGATGAGAAGGAGCCAGAGACAACAACGACATTTTCAAGCTCTTGGGGTGTGTACATGAACAAATGACAAGCTCACAGTTTCAGGAGCCAAGAGTGTGTACCTGACTTCATTGCTATGTATCTCTTTGAGGCTCTCTACAGGTGTGGGGGGCCTCCGTTAAATCTGCAGTCTGCTTCCATGTGAAACTGTGGCCACGTGGTGCTGGCACCTCCCCGTGATACACAGGGAACAATGGCAGATGAGAATAGTAGACCCGGTGTTGGGGCTTGTCTCGACCACTGTTGTTACTACTGTGTGACCTTGGGCAAGTCACTGAATGGTGCCTGGCCATACAATAGGTGCTTAATGAGTATGGATCAAATGAATAAATAAACAAGTCAACCACGTGTCTGAGCCTCAGATTCCTCATCTGGGAAATGGGGGAATAATGCCTCCCAACAGGCTGTGATCATACAGGCAACACTGTTTCCTACGTGTTTCTCAGACATGCTTGTGTTTCACATGGGCCACCTGGGGTGCAGATTCTGACTCAGGAGGTCTGGGGTGGGTGGGCCTGAGTTCTGCATTTACAACTAACCTCCAAGGGGTGCCTATATGGACCACACTTTGACTAGCTAGGTCCAAGACTCCAAAGTCCTTGAAATTATTAACATCATCTCTTTAGTGGACAGGGTCGGGATAGACGCCAAGGACCAATTGTCCCAATGTTCCGCAATGACAGGTTTCCTGGGACACAGACTCTCAGGGTTAGAACTGGGAAAGTTCCAGGCCAACTAGACAAGTTGGTCACCCTATCAGGATAATGGAAAAGAAAGGGATGCTTTGGTCTGAACTCAAAGCAAAACACAAAACCAACAACAACAAAACAGCAGGTGAGGCTGTTTGCTAAGGAGAGGAGCATATTCCCACCTTAGATCAATTAGTTCTCCCACCCCCTTATTTCGCAGAGGCCCAGAGATGTTGGGTGACTTGGCCCACATCACACAGCTCCTCAAGGACAGGGCTGGGGCTACAGCTCCCACCTTCTGACTCACTGTGTAGCCGGGCACTTTCTCCACCAGTCTACATAGCCTTCTCCAACACATTCCTCTTTATCTGGCAAACACAGCATGTTTATTTATAAACTGGCTTGTTTGGAGCCTGAAATTTGGCATAGCTGATTTTGGCTGTGAGGAGTTCATATTTTTTCTCTCTTTGTTTTGGTTTGCTTAACCATGTTTTATGAGCAAAAAACACAAAGTAATGAAAACACAAAGTAATGAAAACACAATGAGGCTGCTAAAGTGGTTCGAATGCAAAGCTTCCAGAAATGCGGCAGCATTAACTTATACAGATTTATTTTGTAACTTTAGATAGATTAGAAACCCATGAAGTTTACTTCCAGGGATTTCCACGAACCCCAAATAAATAAACAGGTGGGTCTCTTGCCAGGCTGTTTCTCCTGGAGGTGGGACAGGAGGTTGGGAAAAGCATTTCTGTTGGGCAGATTGATGGAGGCTGTTCCTATGCTCCTTAGTGAAGGTCCTTAGAAAAGATGTCAATCATCAGGATTAAGGTATGTGTGGTGATTTGCAGACTGTCACTCAAAGTCGTTTGCACTTTATTTTGCACACAGCAGGAGTCATAAAAGAATGTTACCTTTTATTATGAACACTGAGAATCCATGCAGAGAATTCACACTAAATCCGTGAGTACATTGCATTTAGGGCAGCTAGGATGCCCTCAATCCCCACATAACTTCTAATTGTGCTGTAAATTCAGGTAGGTTTTTCTTGGGGGGTGGAGGAGAAGTGAGGATGGAGAGAGAGAGAGAGAAAAAGAGAGAGAGAGAGAGAGAGAGAGAGAGAGAGAGAGAGAGAGAGAGATTGGCTGCATTTTATCTGTGACTCTACCTGGTAGCGCTTCTCAAGGCCAGGGAGTCTGGATGCAGCTGCTGATCTGTTACTTGTTCCAGGACCCAGAGAAAAGTCTTAGCCCTGCCCACCCATAACCGGTTGAGTGATCAGCTCAAGCGGTGAACACCCTGCTTTTCAAATAGTGTGGTTGGCTGGCAGCTTTTGCCACTGTCTTAATTTAATAAATCAAGCTACAGGCTGAGCACAGCTATAGCTTCATCCAACGTTTTTAGCGATAAAATGCACATGTGTGCATGCGTGTGTATGCCTAAATCTATACATATACACACAGGAATACATTACACAGGGGATCCCTGGTGGAACCCATTGAATTTTAAAAATTGCTTTCATAGATCGATTGAGAGCCTCTAATAGTGACAAAAGGACATTTTCAACCTTGGGCTCGAGGCTGAGACCTGAAAAAGTGGCTTCCAGAATCAGGGGCCTGCTGGGCTGAGCAGGTAATACCTGATTTATGGCGGGAGGGAGGTAGCCAATCAGTCAAGCTTGGAAACCCCATCTGCTACCTGGGGCATTTCTGGGTGCTGGGGTTGATGGCTGGTCTCTTAAGCACTCACGTTCTAGAATCAGAATCCCCTGGGACCTTACTGGACATGCCCGAAAATCTAGGAGTGACTGATTAAAGGAGAATGAGGTTGTGCTCACAGCGTGATCCAGGGTCCCCTTCTCAGCCTCCTCATTCCTCTTCTTATTCCCATGTTCTTGTTGGCTCTCTCAAGAGCTCTGGTGTAAAGCAGAGCCTCCCTGAGACCTACTTATTTCTGGGTACAACACAGACAGCTCCCCAGAGCCCTATTTCACCAGGTTAAAGCTTCCTGTCCCACGGGATCACTGTGAGGCTGCCCGGAGACACCACGGAGGGAAGGAACTGTCAATCACCTGCTTTCCTTGGAAACTGTATATGCCTGTTGGGTTGAGGGGCCTGGAAGTCTACACCCTCTCTCTGGTTGATTGTGCCCAGTACGTGAAATGCTATTTTGCCTTCCTGGACTGTCCGCCAAACTCGGAGGGTTGGCCATGAGACCCCGATGTCTCCTTCTGGTCACTCTCCTCAGCTACCCAGCTAACATGCTCTAAGCCTTAGAGTAAAACTCTAGGGTCTGTCTAAGAAACGTGAGAGAGCCTAAGGATAGCTGGGACCCAGCATTCACTCTGAGTGCTGGGCTCTGTTTCTTGGGAGCACCAGGCTTCCATGCTTTGGCTTGAGCAATCCGGAGGCTCTTAATGTCCAGAGGCCTCTCTTAATGACACATCTTTAGTTCTTTTTGCTGTAAACAAACCAGGCTACCTGCTGCCAGACATTGCCACTGCCATCCCCACTGTCACCCCAGGGGTCAGCCAGGCTTCTCTGACCAGGCCAGCAGAGGCACCAGGTAGTCTTTCCCCACCTGCAATCATTATGGCAGAGGCCTCAGTGCGTCACCGCCCCTTTCTTCACTCTCGGTGTCCTTTCTGTTCAGGAATCTAGAGTGGCTGGCAGAGCTCCCACTGGGAAGAAGCACGTTGGGGTTGGGAGCGGGACAAATGGTGCTGGGCACTGCATTTGGCCACAACAGAAACTGGCCCACTGGCCGTTTTAGACACATAAGGCTCATAAATGCTTTGCTGGTTGAGCAAGAACAAAAATTAGCCTCCTGCTGGCCCGGAGTACTGGGAGCCCAGATCACCGCAGTGCCTGGCTGCGCGTCTCTCATTAAGAGAGCTCTGTGACAGACCTTTCTGTCCCTCAGAGGCTTGAAAAGAACCCTGTTCTCTCTGCTGCATTGTCTTTTTTCTTTCTCAATTTCCAACCCTCCCCATAGATCTTCCTTGTCAGGTTTATGAAAAAAATATATATGTTGCCAAGGTCCGGCACATTTCCTACTCTGATTGTTATTAGTGTCCTCATCGAGGATAAACCGTGGAGCACCTGGAAAAACACCCGTGGAGTGTTTGGATGTGTTTGGTTACTTGTAGTCTCCCTACCTCCCCTTTGGGAGGCTGTATATTTAGACTAACTTCTTTCTTGGGCAGTGTCCTGATGATATGCGGAAAAGGGCATGACTGCGATTTACTAGTTATTTACTGCTGTTATGTTTTACTTTGACTGAGGGTGAGCTGTGGATTTTCATTTTAAATGCTCTTCAGAAGCAGCCCTGTCTCCCATCTAAGACAGAATTCCCTTAAAACCAGGTTAAGTTTGGAAGCCTAAACTCTGTGGCCCCAAAACTTCCAGCAGAGCTGGGGAGATGGAAGCAGCTTTCCAAGTCAAGGTTTTCCATAGAAAGTCCCTCCTTCCCATGTCAGAGGCCTCTGTTCCAATTGGCAGCTTCTCAAACGACTCCAACTGAAGTTCCCTGCTGGGCATGTCTCAATAGACCACCCTGTTTCTCTTTCATGGCTATCGAAATTCAGTTTGGAAGAGGAAAAAGCGTATCAGGCAAGCTCTGCCCTTGGAGGTACTTACTGGCACTGACAGAAGATCAAGTCAGTGAATACAATGGATACCAAACGTGCCATTGGAATAAAGAGCCCCGCGTGGCTCGCCAGGCCGAGGCTGGGCACACCTGGGGTAAAGGCCATGACGCAGGCTGCACACACGTCCGAAGCAGAAGCGCTGGTTCTCAGCAGAAGGGGCAAGTTGAGAGAGCAAAGCCTAAAGATGCAATTTTCCTCACCAGTTCTCTTCTCCCCTCTCCTTTGGCTTTCCACTGATGACAACATGCCATCTGTGGCTTGACGAAGGGCTGAGAGCAGCCGTACCTATGTTTAACAGATGGAGCGAACTCCTCCAGACTTCCAGAGCCACAGAAGCAGGGGCTGAATGTGCCGAATCCATAGCCATGAGGACCAGCTCTTGAGTCTATGGACCCTGGGATGCGGCAGCCCCAATGGAGAGTTCAGTTCTCTTGTGTCATATGCAGGCTTCTGGCCATCTCCGGGTGGGAGGGGGCCTCTGGGGCAGCTACAGGGTAGACCATTGACAGCCCCAGAAGGGATGACCCCTTGCATCAAAACAGGATGAAATTAGGTCATTGTTCCTTAAAAACTCAGTGTGGTTGCTTTTCTGCCCCCTGCTTCAATAACTGGGGTGTGATGGCCAAACTGTAGGTCTAGCACCACAAACCACTGTCCCATCTTCCCAACCAGGATATGTTTGGAGGAGGCTAAGAAAAAGCACTTCTCTGCTTTGCTTGACTCGCTTTTATTAGGGTCTCTGGGGTCTTCCATCCTACCCTTCCAAGGTGCTCTCAGCACTGCTCAGCCTCCACAAAGCCCTCCTTCTCATGGCCTGATGGTTCCACCTCCGTGTAGGTGGAGTGGTTGGGGTGGTTGCGGAACTTAATGGTCGGCCAGTGGTGAGGTCTCCGCTGTGGGGGCACAGACCAGAGTCAGCAGGCATGATCTCACCCACTGGGGACCACCCCCCAGGGACAGCACAGAGAATTGAGGCTCTTTTCAAGGGCAGTGGGGGCCTACTGAAAGCCGAGTGAAGTTCAGGGATCCTCTCTACAGAGGGCGCCCTGCTGTGATCCCTCAACCGCTGGGAAATCTGCTGAGGTGTGCGGGTGACAGGACAAAAGGTGAAAGAAAGCTTTAGCAACATACGGCGTGGAGCCCCAAGACTATGGAAAGTGTGGAAGTGGGTGAGATACAGAATGATCTGGGAGGTTCTAGAAATGCCAAGGTACCCCTGCAGACAGTACAAGTATGACATCAGAGTCAGTTGGGGAGCTTATGAAAATGCAGATTACTATGTCTGCCTTAGACCTGCCCCATTAGCATCCCTGTGGCTGGGGGGGGTCTGTAGTTCCCCAGATGATATTAAGTAGGCTAAGACTTAAAAATGACTGGTTAGAACTCACGAGAAACATGGGGTATCTAAACAAAGAGGAGGGGAGGGCGGCTGGTTAGCTCAGTTGGTTAGAATGCATATAACACCAAGGTTGCCAGTTCGATCCCCACATGGGCCACTGAGCTGTGCCCTCCACAACTAGATTGAAACAACTACTTGACTTGGAGCGGATGGGTCCTGGAAAAACAATGTTCCCCAAAAATATAAATATATATATATATATATTTAAAAAATAAATAAAGAGGAAGGAACCACCTGAGCCTCTGGGTAATGAGGTCAGTGGGCTTGTGTACCCTGTGGAGGAGACTGTAATCACAGAGGTGCCACCGCTGTGCCATGTGGAGAGATAGTGAGAAGCTGAGGGTGGAGGGCTGAGCTTTGTGGCCCAGAGCGAAGGGGGCTGGGCCTCACGTCCCATGCTGAACTTCGGGCTGGCTCTTCCAAATTCTGAGGTATGTAAAACTGTAGCATCCTTAATGAGAGCTCCCAGAAAGAGCAACTCTTGTTATTATAATAGTTTGTCAATTCTAATAAAAAAAAACTACAGAGCAGCCAAAGAGGCAGACACCTCGGTTACGTTATGGCTTTGAATAAGCACTGGGCCTGGAATTTGGCCATGAGAGACCATAAGTCATTAGCAATTGCTGCACAGCCACTAAACAGGCACGTGTGGCACCTTTGGCCTTCTTTCTTTCCCCTGAGGCCTCTTCTGACTTCACAAGTGGGCGAGCAAAAGCAGACAGGACAGGGGGGCTGGAGGAATTCTGAGGTGCAGAATCCTGGGAGTTGGGGAGTAAAAGGGCACTAGCCAGTGTGAGATGTCCCAAGATGGGATCAACGAAGCTTCCTCAGGTGGCGGGTAAGGAATGAGACGGGGAGAGGCAGGTACGGAATGGCTGGGGCAAATGGCTGATGCGAAGCAAATGGTGGAGCTGTGGCCAAACTCTACACTTACCTCGATGAAGAAGAGAGCAGCATTGGAGGTGGGGTGGCCACTGATGTAAATCCCTGCCAGGATGATGGCCACCACAAGGAGGACTGCCAGCACGATGCCCACAATGGTGCCCAGGTGCACAGGGGGGGCCTTCGTCTTAGGGGACAGGTTGTTCTGAAGGCCTGTGGAGAGACGTTAGGGCAGGGCAGCTGCAGGGGAGCAAAGAAGGGGGGCCATGGAGTCCTGGGTTCTGACAAAGTCCCAGAGAAAAGCCAACAGAAACTTTAGGTATATTTACCAAATACATGGGCCCGGAGTGGGTGGAATCATGAGCATGGCATTAACGTGGCATGGTTCAGGTGGTTTTCCAAAATCGTTTAAAGCTGTCTAAATGTCTAATAAGGATCATAAAAGAAGTTCTCTTTGATACTCATGCCATGTAAGCACTCTTAAGGAATTCACAATGGGTATGTGATGGTAGAGTTTGGGAACTGGAATCTGGCTGCCTGAGTTCAAATCCAGGCTCTTCCACTCACTAGCTGTGTGACCTTGCAAATTATTTAACCTCTCTGTGTCTCAGATATCACTTCTGTAGAACAAGGGTAATTAATAACTACTTGCTGGAGTTATTGTGAGGGTTAAAATGAGATAATTCATGTCAAGTACCGAGGACCATGGCTCGTCTATCGGGTGACTTCAGTAAGTGTCAGGTATTATGGTAGCAAAATGACCATATTTTTACCTGTCACTGTCCACTACCAGATTGTGACCTCTTGGAGGGCACAGACAGTGTCTTATTCATCTGTGTCCTCAGCTTTTAGAAAAAAATGGCTGACCCATCGTAGGAGCTCAATAAAAGAAATGAGCGAGGTCCTCCGGAGGGCTAATAAAGCAGCAGGCAGTCCCTGAGAACATCCCGAGCATTTGAAATATATCCCAAGGAGGAGACTGAGTATTTCCATAGACTCTCCAGCTGGAAACTCATCCAGTCTCACCCTTCCTGTGTGGCTGAGGTAATGGAAATACAGAGAGGTCAAGTGATTTGCCCAAGGACGCAGTCAGTGCCAGCCTCTAAGAGGCCTAACTTCCTGATACTACCTGGGGCGGCTATTTGCTTTTTCTTCCTACCCTAAAGGAATGTGGAGATAATGAAATAGAGACAGATGAGCATATAAACAACAGGAATGTCTAATCTTATTTACATAGCTAGTGGGTAGGATGGGAGTCAACAGGGGATGGGGATTTTTAATAGGATGTGGCATGCATTCAAAATCATTGCCCTCCCCAACCCCTCTTCTCTGCAAGCAGAGGAAACCCAGGAGAGGGATTAACCCAGGGCACTATTTGCTCACAGGTGGGAGAGTTGAGGTGACATGCCCTCAAGCTGGCCTCCCCTGACTTGGCGATCAGCCAACCCACAGTTTACAGTGACCCTGATGATGTGCTGGTCAGGGCTTGGGCTGATGAGCACAATGGTAACAGAGCAAGGGGAACGTGGCCCAGTTGCCCCACACCCCCACCCTGCTCCCACACCTCTCAACATTCATGCACACTCACACCAGCTACCCACATAAGAGTAATGGCTTCATCTCTGACAGGAGACCAGGTTAAACTGTGCTGCATTAATAGCCCCTCCTCTCCTGCTGGAACCCCAGGCCTCCCAGGCCCTGGAGTTGGAAGGCATTTCCATCTCCCCCTTACAGTGGTTGCAGCAAGGGCCTGAGCTGGCTTTGGGAGAAGGGCAGGGGAGGTGGGGCCACTTCATATCGTCAGAGAGGAAATGACTCTCCCAGCTAATCCTGGGGCAGGGGACCTCACCATCTGGCACCCTGTAAAAATTGTGGCAGACAACTTTTGTGTACTCTCTGCCAACCCAGGTTGGGAACCCAAGGAAGGTTGAGGTGGGAGAAGCTGCTCTCCACCTCTCACTGACTGTGAGGCCCACGGGGGCGAGAGGATGGAGGCCACAGGCCCCACACCGGCCGCCACACCGGCCCTCTCAGCCCTTCCCTCCTCCTCTCACTCCTTTTAGGGTTGTAAATATTTAAGAGCAGAGAGGCTTGGAGAAGAACTAAAGGAGGTTCCTGACTGAGACCAGGAATGTCTAGATGTAGACACATAGAGGGGGCCTGAGCTCAGAAGTCCCCTGCCTTCCCACCCAGCAGGAGGTCCAGGAAGCTCAGGCTGCTGTTGTTCTCCCCACCCCTACTAGGAATAAAAACAAAGAGGCAAGGTGACTGCTGCACCCTCTTTGGGGGGGAGGGACATTCCAAAAGGCAATGGATCTGATGAAGAGGGGCAGGGAGCCCTGTACTCACCATCTTCTCCCGCATAGGGATTCAACTTGGTGTCATCTTCCAAGAGAAAGGAGGGAAGGCACAAGATTAGTGGAATCATTAGGGTCTTTGTCACTTTAGGTCTGGATGGTACTTTAGGGAGGTATAGTCCAACACTTCATTTCAGAGGCAAGAAAACTGAAGCACACAGAGGGGAGGTGACTTGCTCAAAGTCACACAGCAATGTAATGGTAGAAGGCCATGAACAAGCCAAGTTTTCCTAGTCTCGTGTTCATTCATTCAACAAACACTTACTTGAGGATGACTATGAGTTGACCACTAGGAGTAGGTGCTGAGGATAGACATGGTCTCTGCCCTCAGGGAGTTAACACGTGGCGGGGTGGGGCGGTGGAAGGACAATAAAAATCCAGTATAATGAAGCTCTGACTGGAGGCCTCACCAGACAAAGGAAGCTTGAAGGAGGGGTGAACTACGGGGCTGAGAAAAGGTTTCAGACAGAGGAAAGAGCATGGGTAAATGCTCATAGTCAGCAAGAACTTGGCCTGTTGAGAAATAAAAAGCAGTTCCATGTAGCTGGAGGGTGGAGAGGATGAGCGTGGTGTGGGGGGAGGAGGGGAGGAGGTGAGAATGAGGCTGGGGGTCGGGTGGGGTGGGAATGGCTGCCTGGAAACCAAGGGGAGGACTTTTCATGTTCTCCTAAGGGGCGATGGGAAGCTGACGAAGGATTGGCGGAGGGGGTGAGTATGTCACCAGATCAGATTTGCCTGGAGACCACCCCCACGTACAACGTGGGGGACGGATTTCCACACCAACACTCTCTCCCCACCTCAGGGTGTGTGTTCCGCGGCTTCCTAACAAGTTCCAGTGGTTGGCCCGTCCTGTGGTTCTTCCCCCGCGGTCACATGGGAGAAAGGGAAGCGTGAGTTCTGAGTCAGGGGAATGCTCTAGATGACTGCAGGTGGCTGCTTTAAGCACCAAAACTTTAAACAAATCGAACCAGTCCACAGTTTAGGGCTGGCAACATGCATTTCATTCCTCTTCCCCCTCCAGCACCTCCACCATCCATGTCATCTTAAGGGGTTTACTGGCTCCCCTGTATTCACAGGCGTTCAAGGTCCTTGCAATCCATCCCTAACCTTTCCTCCTGTCACTCACTCACAACTCAAGGCCACAGGAGTGTCTGTAACAAGCTGCTGCGAGGCACTCAGGAAGGCCTTGGCTTGCATGTCTCTGAGGGGCTGTGTACTCTGTTCCTCCTGCAGGGAACACCCTTCTTCCCTCCACTATTCCTCTTTCAGAGGTGTCAGCCCTGAACTGCCCTCCGCATTAGGGGGTAAGGCTGGGATTAGGGTGAGACACGTAAAGCAGGGTTGATCCTGTCTTTACGTAAAATTTTGATAC